CACTTTCTTTAATTTGCCTGTGTTTCCACCAACACGGGCCAGGCAGCATACGGTACATCTGCTTTACCACCATAACTCACTTAGGAGTCTCATGGCTCACAAGCTCTGCGTGTGTGCGTGTGTGTATGCGTGCATGCGTGTGCATGTGTGTGCATGTGTGTGCATGTGTGTGCGGTGTGCGTGTGCGTGTGTGCGTGCGTGTGTGTGCGCGCGTGCGTGCGTGTGTGTGTGTGTGTGTGTGTGTATGTGTGTAGAATTAGAAATGCTGCCAGAGGCACCCATAGCGATGGAGCACACCTAAGATTATTAGTAGTGAAGAAGGTAAAGGCTTATGAGGCTTTGGCAAGTGTAGGCCAGAGTGACGACCCATAAGGCAGGTGTCTTAATTGCTGAAGGACCCATTAAGCAAAGGCCGGCCCCTCGATGTACGTGAAGGAGGAAAACAGTTGACATCTCAGTGGCTTCCCCAGAAATGGCGCAGCCAGACTTCAGCTGCCCTCTCTGCCTTCCTACCTGCTTGCAGAGAGAGCCCTGCYCTCCCAGGGCCCCGTGCGGGCAGGTGTGGGGGTTTCCAGTGTGTCTGGCTCACCCTCACGGCCGCCTCGTGATGATGGGGAAGCGAAGGGCGTCAGCTAAGCAGCTTGGAGCTGTAAGGCCCCGCTCGGAGCGCGGCCTGGGCTCCATGTGCTTCACCCCACCCACCCCACGGGGCTGGGTTCCGAGTGGCCGCAGCCCCTTCCCCTTCCAGAACCATTTCTTCTGTTGCTGACTGGCCGCACAGTCACCTCCCAGGCTCCTGAACAGAAGTCCACCCATGGTTCTTTCTGCAAGTAGGCAACTGGCTGCTCTTTCCTTGGAGACATGTAGTACCCCACCTGCTTCCGACGTGCGTGGTGCCTGTCCTCTGGCCTCCATGGGAGCTGGGAAGCAGGGCCGCCCCATTCTGTGCCCCCAGGAATGAATAATAAAACACAGAGAGGAAAAAGTAAATAAGCCATAGTCCTTCAACCAAACGGTAGCCACTACTTACACCCATGGATAGAGCCACAGAGGTAGTGAGAATGGTACCTAGATATCTTATAACCCAGGATCATGTCCTTGAGAAGTGTTTGAATCCAAATATTCTCATAAACCCTCCACCTAATAGCTATGAACTAACTTAACAAAACTGACCCATAGTTGAGGGTTTTCCGTCATGTCCTCAGCGACTGCTAGAAACTTAATCCAATGATTAGTTCAATTCAAAATCGACTGRTCTATCAGCAACCTGGGAAAGAAGGACAATTTGGAGTAAGTTATCCTTCTTGACCCTATTGTGATTCCTAGTGACAATTTCTTTTGTCTGTTTAAAACACTGATGCAGTGAKTTTTCAGATCTGTGTCAAGCTCTTGGGTTGGACTCTCCTGCTGGGAAGTTCAGGTGCGATGTGCAAACTGGGCTTTCTGGCACTGCTGCGTCTGTTCCCTGTGACGCCTCTGAACAAAGTCGTCATGTTTCGACCGTCCCTTCCGCTTGCCATATTAGCTCACCCGGGTACAGCTGCTCTGGGATTCCCCTTCCTGTGAGAATCCTCTCTCTGCCTTTCACTCTGGGGACACCTGTACCGTAAGCCTCAGTTGTGTCCCCTCTGTCTGCCCTCCAGGTGGCCTGCGCTGGCCTCCGTGGCCAAGGTTCACTGTGTGGACTATTGGACCAGGATGCCCAGCAGGACGGGCTCCCTGCTTGACATGTAGAGGGGCCATTCTCAAGGTCCTGTGGTGTGTTCTGGAAAGGATTAAAAGCACTGCAGAGCTCGCCCTGTGCAGACCCCTGCACACCCTGTGCAGACCCTGTGCAGACCCTGTGCAGACTCTGTGCAGATCCTGTGCAGAAGTTTATTCCAAGTACAAGTTTGGGTTAATCGTCCTTCATGTCTTTCTCTTACAAGGTGGCAATTAGCCAATTTACTGTCAGACTGAGAAAAGAGGGTATAAGCATCTGACCAGGGTGAAAGAGCCAGAGAGAAGACATTTTAAAAATGGGGCGGCCCTGCTTCCCAGCTCCCATGGAGGCCAGAGGACATGCTTCACTTATTTATCCACCTCTCTAAATAATTTAACCTTGTTTCTTTCTTAATTATCAGCACTAAGACTAAAGAGTTAAATTATTTAATAACTTACAGCATTTTCACCTTGTTCTTCAGTTAAATTCCTGACTATTCTTATTTTGTTTTTACATATAAATTTGAGAATCAGTTTATAAATCCTTTTTTTCACTGCTATAACAAAATGCCAGAAGCTGGATAATATATGAAGAAAAGATGTTTGTTTAGCATATAGTTCTGGAGGTTGAAAGCAGAGCACCTGCTTCTGCGTGGCCTTGATGAAAGCCTCCTGGCGGATGGATAGTATGAGGGTCGGAGCATGGGAGAGTGACAGACCACATGGCAAGGCAGGACCGGAGAGCCAGGAGGGACTGTCTCATTTGTTATGACAATCTGCTCTCATGAGCACTCACTCTTTAGATCAGCATTATCCCTCCAGGGGCAGTGCCCCCTGTAACCTAACCACCTCCCACCAGGCCCCACCTCTGAAAGGCCACCCACGCCCAACGTCATCACACTCACAAAATCCAAAATCGATGCCCTTCTCAGGAGGTGGATTAAAATCTTATTATCCCTTTTTACAGACTGGACATAGAGCAGAGCTTCAAACCCAGGCAACCCAGGGCTTCCACCTGCTCCCCGCCCCCACAGCAGTCTAAGACTGGGACTCAGAGGTCAGAGGTGGAGGTCAAAAACCTAAGAACCCAAAGAAACCAGGGCTGTGTGCCCACTCCTCCGAAGGCTTGCCTGCCGCCGGTCCCCCCTTGGACACTGCCAATGTTGCTGAGCCCCAGTGTGTTAGTACCAGGGAGGGTTTTACCTGAGGATAGGGTGGTCTTGAACTTTTACAAGGAGAAAATCCTTCCTTTTCCTAACACCCTGCCACTGATCGGGAGCTGAAGAAGGTGGCCCGGGACCCCTGCATATCTGATATTGGCTGGTTTCCTTTTCTTGGTGCTAAATCAGCAAAGGATTTGTTAAGTATGTGACCTACGTTTGCTAGACCCCAGGAACCCAGGGAAGAATCACACTTCTAGCAAGACTGTCTGGAAGCTATTAGTGACTAATCCAGGTACTAGGAATAAATTGCATGAATATTCAACRTCCAACGGCGACTGCTGCCAACTGTATCCAAAATCACTCCTTCCTGTGCGTGTGGCTGCACAAGCTCTGTGCCTGGTCCCGAGAGGGAGGCTGCCCGCGTCGAGTTCACAGTCGGGAAACGTCTGCAGAAATGCTGTCTAGGAAGGGCTGAAACGTGACCGTTCTGACCAGCTCTGCCACGCCGATTGCAGAGAAAGCAGGCCAGAGGTTCCGTGGCATGGGAGTAACACAGGGTGCAGTACCCCTTCCAGATCACCTGGGCAAGTGGCATGCGCCTCCTGTGACCATCCTCACAGCTGAGGTCGTCCCCAAGCCACCCTAGAGTTCCCAGGAGAGAGGCCAGCTTCCCCACTCTGAGCGTCCTTTGGGCCCATGAACCTCCATGCAGGCCACACTGGTCTTTTGCTCTTGGGATAACTTCTGGGCTGTTCTGAGCCCAAGAGAAGCCCCTCCTCAGACCTAAGGAGTACAACAGCCAGGAAGGCGCTGGAAAGAGCTCAGAGTTACAGCCAAGCCCCAAGAGCGGTTGTCAGTTGCCCAACTTAGGAGTTGCCTCAGTTTCTTTTTTTGAAGAATGGGTTAATAGTACTTACCTTGTAGGATTCATGGGCGTGTTGAAGGAGATAATAGATGTGCAGCTATTATGTAGACCATTCACTTGGGGGCATTATTGATGAAGATTGTGACAAATCTAGGATCTGTCAACTATTAAAGTTCGTCCTGGAACTTGTGTTCTTCCTGGGGTACATTCTGCTCCTAGGAGAAGCCAGCCTGCTCTGCTCCCGCCAGCCTGCATCAGAGCCTCCCAGACCCCTGCCTTCGCGCCTTGCCTCAAAGGCTTCATGTGTCAAACTGTGAGGTCATTTCATGCTTTCGTTTTGGAGCTGGAGTCTGCTCACAGGACCAGGAATCTGGTTGCTCTGTATGTGTTGCGTGTCTGATTTTAGAACATTTAAGGTGTGTGGGGGGAGAGGGGGTGCAGYGGGGGAGTCCTCTTGTCTTCATAGTTAGGAGTGTTTACTGGCATCCACAAAGTTCAACCTCTGTCTACCTTCGTTAAATCATTCTGSAAATATTAGAAAATAATTGCGTTCTGTCCACGTGCTGATGATGGTCTCCGGGGCTGGGAGACGGGGATGATCTTCAAGACGGTCTTGGAGCAGCTGGCAGCCCAGAGGAGGAAGGCGAGCCCCTGGACCAGCAAGCAGAGTGACCACAGATGTGCACTAGGGTGGGGTACTGGGGGGCCAGTCCAGCCCCACTGTGTCCCCAAAATGAAGCCCAGGGCTGGAGTTCAGRCACGTCCTGCCAGAAGGGAGGGGCCATTGAGACCTGGAGGAAGAGAACAAACAAGACACAGAGGGACAGRTGGGGGTGGACAGAGGGAAGGCCCACAACTGGGGCCTTCGCTGGGAGCCGCATGGACCAGGGACAGCACGTGGGAACGTGACTCAGTGCCCACCTGGCCACCACTCAGCTGGGAGCGTGGAGACCCATCTGCAATAATGGTCCCAACTTCAGAGGGCTCCCGAGAGTTAGAGGGGATGTTGTTCTAAAAGCATCCAGACTGCACCTGCAGGAACTAAGAGCCCTGACAATATTTGCAAAATAAGAGTAAATCGACCGAGGCCCACAGAGTCTAATCTCGAGCATAAATTTTTCTTTTCAGAGCCTCTTTTCTGACTTCAAAAGCACATCACGCTTTGGCTAATGTTTGGCATCTGTTTGTGTTTCAGCGGCTTTTCCTGAGTCCTGGGTCTTCCTTTCGTCTGGACATATTCTACCGCAGCTATTTATTTATTTTTGAACAAGCACATCTCACGTCATGGACCTCGTTGGACTGCTGAAGTCCCAGTTCCTGTGCCACCTGGTCTTCTGCTACGTGTTCATCGCCTCGGGGCTCATCATCAACGCCGCGCAGCTCTGCACGCTCGTCCTCTGGCCCATCAACAAGCAGCTCTTCAGGAAGATCAACTGCAGACTGTCCTACTGCGTCTCCAGCCGTAAGACCCTTCCTTACACTTCTGTCCTCCCGGCTTCCCCGGGACCCGTCTGTCGGGACTGTGGCTCTTGACATGGCTCGCTGGCCTTTGGGTCCCTGCTCCGCTGTTCTGGGTTTTGTTTTGGTCTGCTTTCTGTTGGAAATGTCTGTTTTCGTCCTCACTCTTTGAAAATGGTGCTTTGAATGAGGACTGCCAGGAACGTGAAATTCAGTGGGCAAGAATGCTGGGTGGCTTCTACCCCCAGGTCTCSCTCCTCAGACGCCATCCGTGTCCCTGGGTCTTAGTTATCCTTAGAGAAACAGTAGGTACGTCTGGCCCGGGAGTGTACCTGTGAGTCTCTCTGCGAGTGTACATTGACACACTATATACACACTTCTTTTTGCAATGCTGGGGATCAAATATGCATATATTTTTTAAATGAATGGCAGTTTTCTATACTGTTCTCTTCCTTGCCTTCCCCCATCTTTTATTTTGAGATGATCATAGATTTACATGCAGCTCCGAGAATCAATAAGGTAAAATCCCAAATGCCCTTCAGCCCGTTTTCCCCAGTGGTAACATCTTGCACAGTGAATCAGAACATCCCAAGAAACGGACATTAAGACGATCCACCAACCCTTCTTGGCTCTCTCAGCTCTTATACACACTTGTTGGTGTGAATGTTTATGTCATTAGTTTCACACATGACTAATCTAACTAGCCTGAGTTTTGGCATTTAAAAGGGAAATCAGTGTACTGCATATCTAGAGATGTGCTCCGTCGTTGCTATTGATTGACTTTAAGCTCATACCTCTTCTCAAAAGCGGAACATGCACTGTATCACTAGCATTATGCACAGGTACAAACGTATTTCAAAGTATGAATGCTTTCAAATTAGTCCTCTTCAAAATCTGTAACCTTAGATTATGTCACCAGTCCAAAATCATCGATATTTTTGTGAAAACTTAAAAAAGAAAAGAATTTGAATCAAAACAATAAAAGCTATGTACAATTTTCTAAATGAGTTACTAGTGATCCAGTTTGTTTTATGTTTTTAATGTATTTTTAACTTTTATTGACACRTAGTAATYATGCATATTTTGGAGGTACAGTGTGACACTTTGATATGTATATACAAGCACAATGATCAGATCAGAATAACTGGGCACATCCAGCATCTCAAACAGTCGTTGCTCTTTGTCTTGGGAACATTCCAGTCCTCTCTACCAGCCACTTTGAAATATACCRTTGATTTTTGTCATAATCCTACTGTGCTGTAGCACATTAGAAGTTACTCCTCCTCTACCCCACAATGCTGCACCTGGTAACTGAGCTCTCTCCATCCCTCTCCCCCTTGCCTTCCCAGGCTCTGGGAACCACCATCCAACTKTCCCCATGTAAATGAGAACTYRTGGRATTTGTCTTTCTACGCCTGACTGATTCCCCTAGCATAACATCCTTTGCTTCTGTTCAYGTTGCTCCCACTGATATTCTGCCATTCACTTTCGTGGCTGAGTAATATTCTAACACAGGTGTGGACCACATTTTCTCCATCCGTCCACCCTCCAGTGGACACTGGGTTGAYTGATCAATCTCTTGGCTATGTTGAGTAGTGCTGTAACACACTGTGAAGTWCTGATGTCTCGTGACATACTGATTTCGTTTCCTTTGGATGTCTACCCAGTCGTGGGAGTGCTAGATATGTGGCGGTTCTGTTTCCGGCTTCTTGAGGAACCTCCACACTGCTTTCCACAATAGCTGTGCTAATTTATATGGTTAGCAAYGCTAGCTTTCCCTGAATCCTGGCCACCAATTGCTATTTTTTTGTCCCTTTGATAACAGCTATTCTAAGTGGGGTAAGATGGTATCTCAATGTGGTTTTGATTGGCATTTCTCTGATGAGTAGTCATGTTGAACATTTTTTCATGTGTTTGCCTCTTATACATCTTTTTTGAGAAATGTCTATTTAGGTCATTTGCCCATTTTTAAATCGGCTCATCATCACCATCATCACCATCATCACCTGACCATCATCACCATCATCACTGCCACCATTACCATCATTATCACCATCAGTCACTGTCATCACCATCATTATCATCATCACCATCACTACCTGACCATCATCATCATCACCACCACTATCACCATCATCTTCACCATAAATCACTGTCATCATCACCATCACTACCACCATCACCTGTCATCATCATCACCACCACTATCACCATCATCATCACCACTATCACCATCATCATCACCATCAATCACCATCATCACCTGACCATCATCATCATCACCACTATCACCATCATCATCACCATAATCACTGTCATCATCACCATCACTAGTATCATCACCTGACCGTCATCATCATCATCACCACTATCACCATCATCACCATCATCATCACCACCACTATCACCATCATCATCACCATAATCACTGTCATCATCACCATCACTACCATCATCACCTGACCGTCATCATCATCATCACCACTATCACCATCATCATCGCCACTATCACCATCATCATCGCCACTATCACCATCATCATCGCCACCACTATCACCATCATCATCGCCACCACTATCACCATCATCGTCACCATCATCATTTTATTTTGAGTTGCTTGCACTCCTTAATGTCCTGGATATTAACCCCTTGCCAGATGACTAGTTCATTGTGATTATTACACAAGCATGAAATAACATTTGCTCCAATTCAGTCCCTGGTACTTCCTTTTTGCCTCCTCTTCTTCCTCCCCCTGTTCCCTTTTCTTTACTTACTGATCTTTCTCCTGTTTATTTATGGTTTTTAAAATTAGTGCATTACAGATATACATAAAGGAGATATTCATATACGTACACAGGCAGGTTTGGTCAGCTTCGCTCCCCCATTCTTCCCTTTTCCTGTCCCTCCTCCCTCCCCCCATCTGCTTTCTCCACTCCATTGATCTTTCTTCTATTTTCATGGAATGCTTCCAACTTCTTTCTTTGTTTCTTTTCTTTTCCCCTTATTTTGGTCTAGCTTCCGCATATGGGAGAAACATTCAACCCTCCTGAGTCTGGCTTATGTCACTTAACTYGATGCTCTCTAGTTCATCCATTCACCAGCAAATGCTGTAATTTCCTTCTTCTTTMAGGTTGAGTGAAACTCCATTGTGTAGATAGACCACTTTTTTTCCTATTGGTTTTTGACAGGCACCTAGATGTTTCCATAATTTGGCCGTTGTGTATTGCACTGCCGTAAGTACTGATGTGGCTGCATTCCTGTAGTAGGTGCTGATTTTAGATCCCTTGGGTGCATCCCAAGGAGTGCTCTAGCTGGTCATGTGGTGTTTCCTCATTTTTTGAGGATGCTCCATATTGTTTCCCAGACTGGTTGTACTAATTTGCAGTCCCAACARTAATGTATGAATGTGCATTTCCCCCACATCCTTACTATCATTTATTGTTATTTGTATACTTGATGATTGCCATTCTGATTTAAAATCAGGAATCACTATACAGGTCGGCTTCTACACAAAGGAAACAATTAAGAGCATAAAGAGAGACACTACAGAAGGGAGAAAGATCTTTGCCATCTGCTCCTCAGATAGGAGCTTAATATCCAGAATGTATAAAGAATTCAAAAAAATTGGGAGCTGGGGATGTGGCTCAAGCGGTAGTGCGCTCGCCTGGCATGTGTGTGGCCCGGGTTCGACCCTCAGCACCACATACCAACAAAGATGTTGTGTCCACCGAGAACTAAAAAATAAATATTAAAAAATTCTCTCTCTCTCTCTCTTAAAAAAAAAAATTTAACACCAAAAGAATAAATGACTCAATAAACAAATGAACAAAGGAATTAAACAGATACTTCTTCTTTTTTTTTCCCCCCATAACAGTGATTTATGAAGTCAGGGCCACTCAACCACTGAACCAACCCTCAGCCCCTCAGCCCTTTTTTTTTGWATTTTATTTAGAGACAGGGTCTCACTGAGTTGCTTAGTGCCTTGCTAAGTTGCTGAGTCTGGCTTTGAACTCTCAATCCTCTTGCCTCCACCTCTGGAGCTGCTGGGATTATAGACGTGCACCACTGCACCCAGCTAAACAGACACTTCTTAAAAGAAGAAATCAAATAACCAATATATATGGAAAAATGGCAATTATCAAGAATATCAGGGAAATGCAAATCAAAATAACACTGAGATTTGATCTCACTCTAGTCAGAATGGCAATTATCAAGTTTCAGATCTTACATATAAAKTTGATACATTTGGAGTTGATTTTTCTTTTTTTTAATGTAGAGAGTTAGGGATCTACTTTTATTCTTCTGCATGTGGAATCCAGTTTTCCCAATATCATTGAGGGGACTGTCCTTTGAAGAGTATGTCCTTGCTGACATGAGTTTATTTCTGGGTTCTCTGTGGTCTCTGTGTTGGTTCTGTATCGTAGCTTCATAGAAAGTCTTGTATTCGGGTGTCAGGATGCCCCCCACCATGCTCTTTGGTTTGGAATTACTGGACTATTGTCTTTGTGGTTTCATACAAATTAGGAGGGTTCCCCCCCCCCCCGCCCCTATGTTTATGAAGAATGTCATTTGTATTTGTTAGGAATTACAGAATCTATGGATTACTTTGAGTAGCATGGGCATTTTATATTTTTAACTTTTTTTGCAGTACTGGGAATTGAACCCAGGGATGCTCTACCACCGAATTACACTCCCAGCATTTTCATTTGATTTTTTGAAATAGGATCTCACTACGTTGCTGAGGCTGGCTATGAACTTGTGATCCTCTTGCCTCAGCCTCCTGAGTCACTGGGATCACAGGTGAACACTATGACCAGCAGCACAGACATTTTAACCATTATTCAATCTGTCTAAAGATTGAATAATGGTTAAAAAGACAGACAGATTGAATAATGGTTAAAATGTTCGTGCTGCTGGTCATAGTGATCACCTGTAATCCCAGTGACTTTAATTGATATTAGTTCTTCTTTAAAAGTTTGGTCAGATTCAATAGGGAATGTGTGT